GACCAGTGAGAAGCACGATTTAGGATGGATGCACCTATATATCGGCCTATATCCGCATTATGCCAAAAGTGCCATTTTCTGGCCGATACAGTGGTGCATCCGTGTATTCTCTCCTCCCCGCTGGGCGCTGCTCTGTGTCCCAGCGGGGAGGAGAGAAAATGTGACAGCTGGCTGAGCGCTGTGAGCAGCCAGCGTCTCTCCTCCCACACCGCTCAGCCTCCTGTCACAGATGGTTAGAGCGGTGTGTGGGCGGAGACAGCTTGCAGCGCAGTCACAGGATGCTGGGCTCTCCTGCAACGCTCGCTCAGCCTCCTGTGACAGCTGTCAGGATGGAGAGCGGGTACAAGCAGTCGCTGATCGCTGAGTGTAAATAATTGAGGACAGAGCATGTTTACTATATCCTCATTTATGAATGAATGGGAAGTGATCTACATCACCTCCTGTTCATTCATGATTGTGGTTATATATGAATGAACAGGAACACACAGTATAGAGAATTCCTGTTCATTTATAACGGGGGCTGCAGAAAAAGAGATTGAGGACTCTTGTGTCCTCAATCTCTTTTTCTATTTTAAAAGGGACATATCTGTTTAGGACCCTAATATTTCCCTGAAGCCCCTAAAAGTAAAAAATATTTATATGAAAAATGAATAAATAAAAATAAATATAAAAAAATGAAAACGTTTATAAAAAATAAAATATTAAAAAAAATAGAAAAAGTTAAAACAAACAATTTAGGTTTCGGCCTGACATTTTTTTATTTCGGTTTCGGTTTTGAAATGTGCATTTCGGTGCACCTCTTCTATTTAGTACAGTCAAATACGGTTTTGATTAGGGATGCACTGATACAGTCAGAGAAAGATTTCCTGTGACCGGCAGCGCCGTAGGGGGAACATGGAGCCAGCTTCCCGTGCAATCAGGAAGTGGGGCGGCGAGTAATGAACCGCCTCCCGGCTTCCTGATTGGCCGGGAAGCTGGCTTGATGCTGATTGGCTGGGAAGCAGGTTTCACAGCCAATCACAATCAGCCAGCCAAACAACATGGAGTAGGCTTCCCTGGCAATCGGGAAGCCAAGAGGCATGTTTATTACCCGCTGCCCTGCTTCCTGATTGCTCGCAAAGCCTGCTCCATGCCAACGGAAGCACCAGTATCAGTACTCGGTATCGCCGAAAACCCAACGCAAAATATCGGTACTCGATACCAAAAAAACGGTATTGGTGCATCTCTAGTTTTGATTAAAACTCTTTTTTTGTAGTTGGAAAAATAGATTGACATGAGGGACAAGTAGATTCGGCCCCGCTTTAGCCCTTGATAATTTAGTTTTTGTTTTTTTTTAAATTCCACACCCCTGAAGTGGCATTAAACTCGGTAGTTACATGTTAAAAAATGCATTTAAATACACTAACTAGGGATGTCCCAATACCGATACAAGCATCGATTCAGGGCATTTTGACAAGTACTTGTCAAAATGCCCCGATACATAGCGCCGAAGCTTGCGCTTTTTTTTTTTTCTTTACTGACCTTGCCGAGCATCGCGTCACTGCTGCTCCGGTGGGCGGCGCTCCCATGTGGGGTCCTAATTTAGGTGGCTTGCAACTGCCCAGAGGACCCCACTCGGAGCGCCACCCATTGGAACAGCAGTGACGCGACGCTCCTCTTCAGCTCAGCGGCGCCGACGTCCTCACGTGTGAGGAAAATCGTGCGGCACCGCGATCGATCGTCACATTCAGTAAGCCATAACTGTTTTCATTGCAGGACAATCATAGCACATCTCCATGTTCTAGCAATACTGTACATCTCCTTGTTCTAGCACATCAGGACGCTCACTGATGTGCAGGTTAAATGATCCATAGTACATAACATGTACTATGGATCATTTAACCTATTCATGTTATCAGGTCAGAATTGTAAGTCTATTGCTGCAGTGTATGCTATATGTAGTACATGTACAGTACATATTCCCAATACTCTGCAGCAACATATTTACAATTCTGCCCTGCTAACATGAATGGGTTAAATCATGATCCATAGTACAGAATATGTACATAATATGTAGTTGTACTACGGATCATTTAACCTATTCATGTTAGCAGGTCAGAATTGTAAATCTATTGCTGCAGTGTATTCTATATGTAGTACATGTACAGTACATATTCCCAATACATTGCAGCAATAGCTTTACAATTCTGCCCTGCTAACATGAATAGGATAAATGATCCGTAGTACAACTACATGTTATGTACTATGGATCATGATTTAACCTATTCATGTTAGCAGGGCAGAATTGTAAATCTATTGCTGTAGTGTACTGGACGTGTGTGCTGCATATGTACTATGGATCATGATTTAACCTATTCATGTTTGCAGGGCAGAATTGTGAGCGCCTCCCACAAGCTGAGCACTGAGATGTGATGCAGCGATCCTGCCCAGCGCCTACTACAAGAGGCACCGCGTGAGGCAACAGGGATTGGAGTGAAACTGCGTGAGGGAAGCTGGGACGGGGCTGGCTGTAAATCTATTGCTATAGTGTACTGGACGTGTGTAATGTATATGTAGTACATATATACAGCACACACCTCCACTACACTGCAGCAATAGATTTACAATTCTTCCCTGCTAACATGAATAGGTTAAATCATGACCCATAGTACTTAACATGTAGTTGTACTATGGATCATTTAAAGTCACCTGTCCCTTTAAGAAAAAGTATCGGTAATTGGTATCGGCAAGTTCATGAGGGGAAGTACTTGGTCTTGAAAAAGTGGTATCGGGACATCCCTAACACTAACACTCTGAATTGATGCTGACACCGTTCCTTCCTTCTGGAGGGTGGCTACTTTTGTTCCCCATGGTCCCTGTGTGTGTTGAAATGTAGTCACCGCTCCAAACGTAGTCCATCACAGGAGTGAGCCCAGTGTCAGAAAGCTCTGTCTCGGTCACAGGACATGGGTCCTCCAACATGATAGTGACCCAATACACACAGATTCCAACGCCAGGAAAACTATTAAATATCCAGATACAATACACAGAAACATTGGGCCAATTTGTTGGTATTCTTACAGCTCATTGAACAATGCTTCATTCCTCCTGAAAGTGATGAAATTAAAAGTAGTCGTCGTCTCTTCTTGTACAACTTTGTTTTGTCATAGAGTAAGGCAGAGAAATTATGAAAAGAGATAAAATATTGCTTGTTCTACAAAGGTATTTGAAAATGGTTTGGACAGATTTGTTGGTACCCTAAAACAATGATAACAATTTGGATAATAGCAATATTTCACACTATTTTATGTAATTATCACACATGTCTTGTAGGCAGTTAGTCACATGGCGTATACATGGAGAAAAGTCATGCTGTTGGTGTGATTTGTGTCCACCACAATGGTACTGGACCAGAGAAAGCAAAGAAGAGAGTTGTCTGAGGGGATCGGAAAGAAAATTGTAGATTATGATGTCAAATATAAAGGCAATCTCCAAGCAGCTTGATGTTCCTGTACTATAATTCCAAATATTAAGAAGTTTAATGTCCATGGGGAGTGTTGCCAACCACCTTGGATGTGGCCACATGAGACAATTTCTCCCCAGATTGAACAGAATGGTAGCCAAAGAGCCAATGAGAACTTTCAAAGCTGTACTTGAATGCCAGAATACCTCAGTGACCACTGCTTTGTTAACGACAACGGGCTCAGAGGAAAAATAGGAGGACTCTACTGTTGAAAGAAAAACATAAAAAAGCCAAACTGTGATTTGATAAAATGCATATTGACGAGCCACACTACTTCTGGGAAAATGTCCAATGGACAGATGAGACAAAGCTGGAGCTTTTTGGCAAGTTGAAGCATTCAAAGAAAATAACACCATATCTCCTGTGACACACAAATAAGGCTCAGTGATGTTTGGGTGCTGCATCTGGTGCTCCGAATCTGTGATGGGCACAATGACATCTCAAAGACTATCGAGGAATTCTAGAGTGAAAAATACTAGGGATGCACCGATAAAGTTTTTTTGCTATCTAGAACCAATATTTTTTTTTTTGGTACTTGCCAATACAGATAACGCAAGTCCCATTAAGGAAGCCTGGCGGCGTGTAATGACTCGCCACCCGGCTTCCCGATTAGCAGGAAAGCCGTCTCCATGCTTCTCGTCACTAGGTGACGAGAAAATATGGAGCCGGCTTTCTGGGCAATCAGGAGACGGGCGCCGTGTAATGACACTGCACCCGGCTTCCTCATTGGCCGGGAAGCCGGCTCCATGCTCCCTCATCATGAGGTGACAAGGGAGCATGACGCTGGCTTCCCGGCCAATTGGAAAGCCTTGTGCGGCATAATTACACGACGCCCAGCTTCTTGATTGTCCAGGTGCCCGGCTTCCTGATACCGGAAGTATCGGGCTAGGCATCGGAGCATTTGGCAAGTACATGTACTCGCCCAAATACTCGGCATCTATACCGATACTAGGATCGGTGCATCCCTAAAAAATAATGCCCAGTGCCCGAAAGCTCTGCCTCGGTTACAGAACGTTGGTCCTCCAACATAATAGTGACCCAAAACCCGCAGATAAAAGCAGTCGGGAACAAAACATTGTACTGTTCTGAAATGTCTTTCTATGAGCTCTGAGCTGAATCCTATCAAGCATAGCCTGTGCATAGAGTAAAGCTGTGGGAGTTGCCCATCAGGCTCCACTCACTACAGGAGAGGCCAGATAGAAGACCAGTCAGCCTGTACAATATGAAAGAGTAGCATTGACCGGTCTTTATTACGGGAAGCTCCCGCACAGAGTTGTATGCTTGATTACTGCCAAGATCTGGAGGAAATATACAAAGCTCACCAAGATTCAAGGAGGATACACAGGACACGTGACACTTAGACAATATCTGTTTATCCTGAAGCTTGGCTTTATTGTAGTGTATGGCAGCTTGTCTCAGAAGCTTTTCATGTAATTTTAGGCCAGCATTTCCAGTGTAGTATTTTCCCTTGCCCTCACCTGTTACCCTTCTGCAGATTTCAGCTAAAAGCATTGGAGTTTGGATGAAGCCGCTGGGGAAGACGCTCGTGCAACCATGAGCCGAGGGAAACGTGACAACAATTTCTCTGTCTTTGAAATTGGAGATTCCACTTTCAATGTTCTGAAGCGCTACCAAAACCTGAAGCCTATTGGATCAGGAGCCCAAGGAATAGTATGGTAAGAAAGTTCATCGCACCCCCCCCCCATTCATTTTTTTCTATATCTATTAACATTAAGGTTTACGTGCTATGTTTGTTTTCCTCAGCGCTGCATACGACGGTGCTCTAGAGAGACATGTTGCTATCAAAAAGCTGAGTCGGCCCTTCCAGAATCAAACCCACGCCAAGAGGGCATACCGGGAGCTTGTGCTCATGAAATGTGTCAATCACAAGAATGTAAGTTCTGCAGAAACAATCCCCTTGGGGGGAATTATATGCGCTAGAAGGATTTTTTTTTGTAGATTCTTACTTTTTGGTTCAGAACAATGTTCATCTTACCATGTTCATTGGCAGCTGACTGGGGGATTGGAAGAATATGCCTTCTTATTGCCACCTGAGCAATCGCTGTCATAATAAGAAAATGATCTGAATCCTTTAAGCCATGAAGGCTTATAACTGTGGTTGAAATTTTAGGTTGTATGTGGAGCCTCAACAAAGTATTCATTATAAGTAATAATACAGAAGTTTGCCAAAAACTACGAAGCTGCTAGAGGAAATGGTCAGAGACTGCGGGCATGCTTCAGGTTTGGTTGGACACTGGAGACATGCTGCATGAGACGGTCCGAGAATGGTAACATGTTAAATGCCCATCGGTAGCAGTAAGTTCAGAATCCATTGCTGTAGGACACCTCAGAAGCCCCAGAACGTCAAATGCCAGCAGTTTACAAATATTTGATATGTAAATGAGGCATGTCCCAGCTCATCCCTTAGGATTGGGGATTTAACAGCATACCAACAGGTACTTTGCATTGCAAAAGAGTAGTGCGGAGGGTATGACAGCAGGTAGTATGTGCAGGCGAGGAGTGCAGGGAATATGTCAGTGGTCATCACGTGCGGGAGAGGAGTGCCAGAGAGTATGACGGTGGTGATTATGTGTAAGAGAGGAGTTCCTGGGGTTATTACAGCAGTCAATATGTGCAGGAGAGCAGTGGCAGAGAGTATGACAGTGGTCATTATGTGCCATTGAGGAGCATTGTAGGGTATGACGACCATCGTCATATACAGGAGAGGAGTGATGTAGGGTATGACAGAGGTCATTATGTGCAGGAGAGGAATACCTGAGGGTATGACCGTGTCATGTGCAGGAGAGGAATGCCAGAGGGTACGACGGGGATCATATGCAGGAGAGGAGTGCCCGAGGGTATGACACAGGTCATATGCAGGAGGGGAATGCCAGAGGGTACGACAGGGGTCATATGCAGGAGGGGAATGCCAAAGGGTAAGACGGGGGTCATATGCAGGAAGGGAATGCCAGAGGGTACGGCGGGGGTCATGTGCAGAAGGGTAATGCCAGAGTGTATGACGGGGGTCACGTGCAGGAGAGGAATGCCAAAGGGTACGACGGGGGTCATCTGCTGGAGGGGAATGCCAGAGGGTACGACGGGGGTCATATGCAGGAGTGGAATGGCAGAGGGTACAACGGGGGGTCACATGGAGAGAAATGCCAGAGGTTACGACAGGGATCATATGCAGGAGTGGAATGCCAGAGGGTACGACGGGGCAGGGGGTCACATGCGGGGGAGGAATGCCAGAGGGTACGCCGGGGTTCATATGCAGGAGAGGAATGCCAGAGGGTACGCCGGGGTTCATATGCAGGAGAGGAATGCCAGAGGGTACGCCGGGGTTCATATGCAGGAGAGGAATGCCAGAGGGTACGCCGGGGTTCATATGCAGGAGAGGAATGCCAGAGGGTACGCCGGGGTTCATATGCAGGAGAGGAATGCCAGAGGGTACGACGGGGGTCATATGCAGGAGGGGAATGCCAGAGGGTACGACGGGGCAGGGGGTCACATGCAGGGGAGGAATGCCAGAGGGTACGACGGGGGTCATATGCAGGAGGGGAATGCCACAGGGTACGATGTGGGTCATATGCAGGAAAGAAATGCCAAAGGGTACGACGGGGGTCACGTGCAGGAGAGGAATGCCAAAGGGTACGACGGGGGTCACGTGCAGGAGAGGAATGCCAAAGGGTACGACGGGGGTCACGTGCAGGAGAGGAATGCCAAAGGGTACGACGGGGGTCACGTGCAGGAGAGGAATGCCAAAGGGTACGACGGGGGTCACGTGCAGGAGAGGAATGCCAAAGGGTACGACGGGGGTCACGTGCAGGAGAGGAATGCCAAAGGGTACGACGGGGGTCACGTGCAGGAGAGGAATGCCAAAGGGTACGACGGGGGTCACGTGCAGGAGAGGAATGCCAAAGGGTACGACGGGGGTCACGTGCAGGAGAGGAATGCCAAAGGGTACGACGGGGGTCACGTGCAGGAGAGGAATGCCAAAGGGTACGACGGGGGTCACGTGCAGGAGAGGAATGCCAAAGGGTACGACGGGGGTCACGTGCAGGAGAGGAATGCCAAAGGGTACGACGGGGGTCACGTGCAGGAGAGGAATGCCAAAGGGTACGACGGGGGTCATATGCAGGAGGGGAATGCCACAGGGTACGATGTGGGTCATATGCAGGAAAGAAATGCCAAAGGGTACGACGGGGTTCATATGCAGGAGAGGAATGCCAAAGGGTACGACGGGGGTCATATGCAGGAGTGGAATGCCAGAGGGTACGACGGGGGGTCACATGGAGAGAAATGCCAGAGGTTACGACGGGGATCATATGCAGGAGTGGAATGCCAGAGGGTACGACGGGGGAGGGGGTCACATGCAAAGGAGGAATGCCAAAGGGTACGACGGGAGTCATATGCAGGAGGGGAATGCCACAGGGTACGACGTGGGTCATATGCAGGAAAGAAATGCCAAAGGGTATGACGGGGGTCATATGCAGGAGGGGAATTCCACAGGGTACGACGTGGGTCATATGCAGGAAAGAAATGCCAAAGGGTACGACGGGGGTCACGTGCAGGAGAGGAATGCCAAAGGGTACGACGGGGGTCATCTGCTGGAGGGGAATGCCAGAGGGTACGACGGGGGTCATATGCAGGAGGGGAATGCCAGAGGGTACGACGGGGGTCGTATGCAGCAGAGGAATGCCAGAGGATACGACGGCAGTAATTGTGTGCAATAAAGGAATGGGAACACTGATGATTAAAAGAATGTCACTCAGCATTTCTGGGCAAAACTCAGGAAGCGGTTGTATCTGAGAGGAGAGTCATGCTTTCCTACTACATTTATTTCTGTAGCCAGGTCTCCTCTAACAGAATAAGGAAATGTTTCAGCTTCTCTTTTTTTACACTTCGGGGGAAGTATTGAAACTAAAGCTAGCCAAACACTGGACAAATTCCGTGGAGTCCTGCTGATTCAGCCAAAATTTGACCAATGTGCGGCAGCCAATAAGCAGCAGTCACTGTTCAGGTATGCTGAAAACACTGCGTCCACCGCTGTCGGAGTACAGTAGACTGCAGGGCTGAACAAGAAAAAAAAAAAACACATCCAGTGCATGCCCAACTGAACCTGTCCTGTGAGCAGTTGAATAGGGCTGTGAATCGCCATGTGCTGCGAGTAGGTAGTTGAGGCTGATTGTTGCCTTTGTCTGTTTCAGATAATTGGGCTCCTAAACGTCTTTACACCGCAGAGGTCTCTGGAGGAATTCCAAGACTTGTAAGTATTCAGAAACAATTCTGTATTGAGACTATGGTAAAATCAAACCTTCAGTACAGGAAGTAACATATTCTCTGTGCATAACCTAGCACAACACTTCCAGGAGTTGACCAGCCTTGAATTTCACTGTAATCTAGTATTTTGCTTGCACACTGACACACTCTGTGTCTTTTCTAGGTACATCGTGATGGAGCTTATGGATGCCAATTTGTGTCAGGTGATACAGATGGAGCTGGATCATGAGCGCATGTCCTACTTGCTTTACCAGATGTTGTGTGGCATAAAGCACCTACATTCTGCAGGGATCATACATCGGGTGAGTCATACCAGGGTGCCAGGTAATAGGGTGTTTAGGCTTTAAGAATTAACTTTTGTCTTTTGTTCTGTTTAACCCCTTTGTGACGGGAGACGTACACTGTACGTCCCGTCACGAAGTGCCTATATGACTGGCCACGTACACTGTACGTGACGAGTTATATCAGGCTTTGTAATGCCGCTAAGCGCTGATTCTCAGCAGTTACCAGTCATTAATGAATGTCTCAGTATTGAGGCATTCATTAATTATATAGTTAAGCTTTTGTAAAAGCTTCTTTGTTTCATTAATGAAAAAATGAAGCCTTTACATGCAAATACGGGACCGCTAAATAGCGATTCCGTATTTGACAGCTGAAAATAGCAGAGGTAGCAGAGTGAGTCACCTCTCTGCTATTCGTTTTGACAGCTCCCATAGCCCATGTTTATGATACATTTCACCCACAGAGATACAATGTATCTCTGTGAGTGAAATATATCAGACTTCTGATCGTCTGGGCTGATCAAAGACCTTTTAGTGAGATCTGAATCTGACATGCTGTCAGGATCAGTCTCTAAGGTTATTATTAGCTGTTCCTAAGTTTGGAGCAGCCTAATATAGCCAAAAATTTTTAAAAAAACTTATTCTTTCAAGCAGTCATAGTGACTGCTTGATATAAACTGACAAAGTCTAAAAAAAATAAAGTGTAAAACAGAATTAGGAAAATAAAAATGATATATAAATATACTTTTTATACTATAATTATTATAACAAATTTCTAAAAAAATAATATCAAAACTTGTGAAAAAAAGTGTTTTCTTCTAGTTTTTTTCCTCCCATTTTTTTTTTTATATTTTATTCAAACTAAGTGAGGCGTTAAGTACACATGTTTGATATAATTATATAGCCCTATCTGTCCTCTAAAAAACAATATATAATATGAGTGGGTACATTTAGTAAGAACGTATATTACTGACGTGGAAGAATCGCACAGCAAAAATGTAAAGTGTGTCAGTCATTTATGAACAGAAACTGAAAACTAGCTCAGTCATGAAGGGGTTAAATATACTATTGGAAAAGTTTTGTTATACCTGTTCTGTAACTGTCCATCAGGCCAGAAATATTTGTGATCTAAGGACTACTTCACAGGAAGTTATCAGGATGGTCTCTGCTGATTCACAAGCTTGTAGCGCTTCAGTCAGCTATTAGCTATACACACTTCTTTCTGGATTGACAGCTGTGCCCGTTTCTTAAAACCTTTCACTGTAAGCTGCAGTGTCTGGGAGGGGGAGCACGTGAGACACCAATGAGGAAGGATTTGGCTTACTTAGAAGAGGTAAAGGATACATGTTTTTTTTTATTACAGGTTTTTTCATATTGAATTTGGGATCTGACACTGTCGCACAGCAGCTTTTAAATGTACCTAGTGGCTTCACATATAGACTGGGTTGAAACTTTCTCAGCATGACACCAATGATATGCCTGACATTTATTAGCTGTTTTTCTTTTCTGTGCTTTACAGGATTTAAAGCCAAGCAACATCGTAGTGAAGTCTGACTGCACCCTAAAAATTCTCGACTTTGGCCTGGCCCGGACAGCAGGAACAAGCTTCATGATGACCCCATACGTTGTCACCCGTTACTACAGAGCTCCGGAAGTTATCTTAGGCATGGGATACAAAGAAAACGGTTAGTGCTTCCATCCGTGTTCGCTCACATTTCGGAGCTCATTAGAAAGCAGGTTGTTTGCAGTGGAGACCTCTGTAACATCTATAGTTGCATATTCAATTTGGTTTTAGACCATTGTACAAGCTAATCAAGGTTCATACCGTGCAGTATGATAGTTGATTAGCCTATTTAATATATGGTAATCTTTTTAAAGGAGAGCTGCAGTCTATGGGTTTGAGTAATGGACATTGAGTCAGTTATGTGCCACTGGTTATCTGCTTTAAAGTAGAATTCAACCCAATATGGTAGAATTATGCTTTAAAACCCAACTCCAGGGTCTGAGCTCCTTTCCACCAGAGGTGCCCCCCCCCCTTTCCTCTTGGACGCCCCTTCTCAAAACTTTTTTTTTTTGTATGTCTCCTGGCTGGTCATGTGATATGCAGGGTCCTCGTCCTCTTTGGTCTTCTGCCTGCCATGGGTGGCCTTGCCTTATGCAAAGAGCAGCACCGGTGTGGTATCATCTGTGCCTCTCTCTATATCAATACACTATGATTCCTTGCCAGGGTTGCTTCTCACCCAGAGTAGAACATATCATTTAAAAGAGGCAAATTGGGTTACATTAAATGGCTTAGGCCAACCAGAAATGTAAGATTTGCATAGCTTAACTGCTGGAGCACAGAATAAGATATATGACCATACTGGAGTAAACTCGTGCCCTCCTCTCAGATTTTCCTCATGTATGGAAGCGATTGGAATAAGAAATTGGTTTATTGTCCTTAGTAACCCAACATTGTCAAGTACTAGAGGAAGAAAAAGGTGGGGTGGGATCTGATTAGATTATCTAAAGACAAGAAAGGGTAGATCTTAGATGCACCATAACCAGAAACCGGAGACCTTTTTAGATGTGCCAGAGACCAGAAAGGGGAGACCTTTTTAGATGCGCCAGAGACCAGAAAGGGGAGACCTTTTTAGATGCGCCAGAGACCAGAAAGCGGCCCTCATCTTCTGTTCTGCGGGTAACTCTAACGGGTTGGCTTTTTTAAAGGGGAGACCTTTTTAGATGCGCCAGAGACCAGAAAGGGGAGACCTTTTTAGATGCGCCAGAGACCAGAAAGGGGGAAACCTTCTTAGGTGCGCCAGAGACCAGAAAGGGGAGACCTTTTTAGATGCGCCAGAGACCAGAAAGGGGAGACCTTTTTAGGTGCGCCAGAGACCAGAAAGAGGAGACCTTTTTAGGTGCGCCAGAGACCAGAAAGGGGGAGACCTTTTTAGATGCGCCAGAGACCAGAAAGGGGAGACCTTTTTAGATGCGCCAGAGACCAGAAAGGGGAGACCTTTTTAGATGCGCCAGAGACCAGAAAGGGGAGACCTTTTTAGATGCGCCAGAGACCAGACTACTCCCCTCACCTCCTGTTCTGGGGGTAACTCTAGCAGTTTGGATTTGCCATCACTTTTTTGTCTGGTCACCAGGAGCAGGGTTGAACCGTGCTAGGAAGCAATAAAACCTGACAGGGGTTCTAGCTCTTCCATTGTCCAGCCAAAACTACAAAAAAAAGTGTTTTGGCTATACATACACTTTAACAAAGTTCTGAAATGGCATAAGTGTCTGCTGTGTGGCTTGACAAAGCTGTATTTCTGTCCCTCAAAGAACCTCAAAGGCCACCCAAAGCCCCTATTTCAGTTTGAGGTGGACATTGGTGGTCTGAATTGGCCACAGGGCTTCTATCAGGTATGCAGGTGGAGAGTTTACAGCGCTAGGCTCTCAGGATCTGCACATTCGGTGTAATTGGGACCTTATTGTTGGTTCAGGATCCTCTTTTATTTTTCATTGTAGAGGGAGTTAAGTACCCAAATATTATAAAATGGGATTTAGCCCATCAATGTCCAAGGCACCAGCCTTTTCATGCAGCACGAGACTGATTACTCTGTTAACTCTTTAGCTGCCAGAGATAATGGCAGCACTTCACTGGCATCGCATCAAGGTTAACTCCAGGCAAGCCGCTAAATTCACACTGCAAATGTATATTTGAACTGTTTTAATTGTCAAATGATCTGTAATTGTGTTAAATGTTTCCTTGCTCCATAGCCTAGCATGTTTCAGCTTTGCAGTTTTCTGTGTCACATCTCGGCCTTTAGTCTGTTGCATCATTGAACTACTGATTCATTGGCCAGCAAATGGGCAACTGAAACAGCGAGAGCTGTAATGCCAAATGTGCAAATAGTGGGCTACTGCTCCTGGCAATGCAGTGTGAGGTGTGACAATCCGGTATCTGAACCAAGTTCGGAAAGTAAATTTATTATATAGTTCACAATTCTGTGGCTACACTCACTCGTGGAGGCAGCCACAGTATCCACTGTTAGTCACATTTGACAAACCCCCCTACTATATGTTTGTGTTCCCATTCAAACAGCGTACCTAAAAATAATTAAGAAGATAATTATTTGAAAGAATTTCTTTTAATTTTTTTTAAATAATTTAATTGTAATAAAAAAATATTTCTTGTTGAAAATATTCTTGGCCTGAAATGATAAAACTAGTAAAGAAACCACATCTAAGGACTGGTAAGCTGCAGTGTATTACATTTTTATTCTTGGGTTTAGTTATCCCTAAATGCAGATCTCCCAGTTAAAAAAAAAAAAAAGTTTACCATCACACAAAATTGTCATGGAAAAGTTATTTACAAATTATTATTTTTTTACATTTAGTATAAATGTTTAAAGTATTATCCCAAAATCTGTTTAGTATGTTTGGCACCATGACTCCCTGTATACAGTTTTCTTAAGCAAATCATTTTTTATCTGTCGCAAAGTTTCTTGCCTGGAGAGCCTGCCAGTGACAAAACTTCCAGACAACACTAAGCCACTTCCTCTCAATTAGCAGCAGTGTTGTCATTCTTTGTGCATGCTTCTTTAGTTTGCCAATCGGGTCTGCAACAGGCTTCATGTATTATGAAATTTATGGAGGGAAAAATTCCCGTTAACCGCTTGCCGGCCAGGAGCTCTCTAGGTCTAAACGGGCGCGCTTGAGCGGCAAATGCTGATATTTAAAAACAGGCAGCGATGCCCGTTAATATACAAGCGATCCGCCGGCTATAGAGCCGGCGGAACGCTTGTATGAATTCCCGGGATGTGTGCCTCCCACTGTCACACTGGTCCCGGGCTCCGCTGTGCCCGGTGCGAGCCCGGAGCTTTTACAGCTTATCAGTTGAAAGCGTCACCTATGGTCAATTTTGGGTATGGTAGTTTTTTGCGATTTCGCGTCTGCGTCCAATTTTAAAGCATGACATGTTTGGCGACTATTTACCGGACGTGACCCCGTCTTTTATATTTAACCAAAAATATGGGTAATAAACATTGTTTCCTAATATAATGAAAAAAAAAACTTTTTTTTTTCAATAATTTTTCCTTTTAATATAGTAAAAAATAAAAACCCCACTGGTGATTAAATACCACCAAAAGAAAGCTCTATGTATCCCTCAAAAATGGTATAAAATTAATTTCAGTACAGCATTGCATGACAGAATAAATGTCAGTCAAAGTACGGCAGCGCTGAATACTGAAAAATGGCCTGGCCAGGAAGGGGGTCTAAACACCTGGTCTTGAAGTGGTTAAAGGAGAAATATGGGATGAGTGTATTTCACCTTTAAAGAGAATGTTTCCCTCTATAAATTAACTTTGCCTGCCCAATTCTTTACAGCATTATGTTTCCTACTGAAAGACAGGTGCACTTTAATGATCACCTAACCACTCTGCACTGCCCTGGGCTCCTCTTGTCTTTTTTTCATGCTGACCTCTCACCTTTTCCAGGTTCTACCTGCACTTGGCTGTTCACTCGTATTCACTGACACCTCTCTCTCTCTCGCTTCTGCTTTTTTTTTTTTCTCTCCTTCCATCCTTTTTTTTCCCCCTCCCCTCCACCTTGTGCTGTCACACTGATAGTGGACTTGTGGTCCGTGGGGTGCATAATGGGAGAAATGATATGTCACAAGATCCTGTTCCCTGGAAGGGACTGTATCCTTGCACTCTTAAATATAAAATGTTTTTAACGGCATGGAGAGCAAGTGAATCTTTTTGCTGTGTCTGAGAAGTTCAATCCAATCTGCAAGCAGCAATATGTACTGCTCATCTCACTGGGTTTCATTCTTTAAGGTGCACACAAGGAGTATTTTAAAGCAGCTAGCAACACATAGGGGCCTAGTTATAAAGCAGTTTATGTCCTGGAGGTGAATCTGTCACCGTCATAATTTTTAAAATGCATGCACCAGGAAGATTCACCTCCTCTGAATGATTGGGGAAGGTCACATTCGCTGCTTTGTGAATAAAATATGTACCTAAGTAACATGGGCACTTATAAACCTAAATGATATTAAAGGAGAACTATGGGGTCAGGGCTTTTCCCCATAGTTCTCCTTAGGGTAACGGAAGGACACAAACTACCGTCCTCCCGTTACCCTAAGCTCAGTATACCGCGAGCTACAGCTCGCGGTATACTGAGACGCCGGAGCGGATCCTGACATCGATGTCGAGATCCGCCCAGCTGCGTGCGTGACAGCTGCCTCTGCCTATCTAGAGGCAGAGCCAGCTGTACCCGCACCCTCCCCCGGAGCGGGGAGGGGGGAATCCAGCCCCTCCCCTGTCACGGCAGAGAGCCGTGACAGGATCGAGAGGTGAGCGAACCCCGGTATGTGTTCGCTCACCTCCCGATCTACGGAGCCGACCTGTGACAGTCTCATTGTCACAGGTCGGCTAGAACTGTGAGGTGAGTGAAAAGCACTCACCTCATAGTTCTCCTTTTAAAGAATCATTAGTCCTCCATAATAAGTTGGTTTATGAAGAAGTATTTACCAGTTTGTTAAAAAATGACACCTTCCCTATTCAGAGCAAAGTGACCATGTCTGTGTAACTTGCCTGCGCTCCCAAGAAGATGAGTATCAGTGGGTCGGAGGAACCTTTTTACACAAAGTGACACTCCATCTTTAAAGCCTTGTGTACGGGGGCGGTAAAGACAGGCTTTTGCCGCCCACCTAAAACATAATATGGCAGAGCGCTCAGTTATGTACGCACGCTGCTGCAACTTTTATACAGTGTGTTGCATTTCGCAGGCTTGTCAAATCAATGGGACCGTGCTGCAACCATAAGCCAACCACTTGCCAATGCAAAATCCCCATTGGGTTAAAAAACAAAAAAAAGCAATTCAGGGGGCAGCAGTATTACCTCTTGGCCGCTTTTAAACCGGCTGTCAACTGCCCTTTGAGGGCACCATATGTATAAGCAAGGCCTACAAATTCTAGATCTAGCCAAACATGAACACCGGAGAAGCAATATCTGTTAACATACAATTGACTACCTGTCCAGTAACTCAATAGAATAATACTGGCAGGTAGTCCTGTGATGTGACAGCTAACGGAGAAAAGGCTGCAGAGGGGGAAAAAATCCTATACAATGCATCATTCTGGATATGGTTCATTTTGTATACGTATTTATGAATGTTATTAGTAGATAGTATACATCAGACTTTATATTTTTCATTGTGTAAATGTTCACTCCATGTAGCAGCAAGCCTTTTCTCTAATATATATACACACACAGGTTATAGAGTATGGTGACAGGATTCTTATATGCTTGTTGTGTTCATACAATTCCAAAAAAAGAGTTAAAGGGTGTTCTTAAAATGTGTCTTTTGCTGCTGCATTAAAGTGGACCTGAACTCCCAAACTGAAGATTTTCTATGGTATAGATAACCTCTAACAATTTTAATTGTGCCCAAGTAGTACCCTTCATTTTGTCTGGAATCCATGCTGAAAAATAGCAATGCACTTCCTGGGTGTGTGAGGATGTCCAGGCACTCCTGTACCTACAGCCTCACAGCATATGTATATTTACAGTGTGAGATCTCAGGCATCGCTGCCTCTGAATTCTAGTCTTGGCATTTGGTGATGTCACTGTTGTGCTTCTCACTGTTCTCCTTGCTGGAGGCTCTGACAGAATGAAGCAAAGCCCTGCGTCTACCAAAATGGCCGCCTCCGCATGGAGACACAGTGGAGGAGTACAAGGCTTGGTTAGTCAGTACTGGGGAATAGGTCAGCTGCAGGGAGACCACAGGCCATACTGGTGACTACTCCTCCTTTTGTCCTTTGCTTGCCTTTTCTTGGACACCGCTTCCAGAGTTCAGTTCCTTTTTGGGTGACTTAAATTAAAAATGTGATTATATCTTAGAGTAAAACTCCAACCAAAGACATTTTTTTAAATCTTTAGTTCAATTGGTAAAGGTTTTATTTATTTTGTGTCACCACTTAGGCCTCATTCACACACAACGCAAGCAAAATTGTATATTGCGTATATACGCATCTATGCGCGTATATGCATGCACTATATGCAATCCCAGAATGCATCACTCGTAATGGAATTTTAATGTGCTGTACGCATGTATGCGCGTATATGCGCGCAAACACGCGTATGTGCGCGTAAATACACAGAGATACGCTGCCCAGACGCATCTCTGTTCCATTCTGTTTTTGCGCATATATACGCTGCGCAAATATACGGCTCCATACGCGGCTGTGTGTATGGAGCCATTTATTTGCATATGTTGCATATAGTACAATACGTACGTACGCGCATATACGCGCGGCAGTGTGAATGAGGCCTAAAGCTGGATATATACTGGACTTTTTTGGGTCATACAGTCCAACGGGCTAAACAAGGGAACCCTTTATTCCCTCATCCCCGCTAACAATGGGAATTCCACTCTGGTGAGGACTTATCTCTCTAAGGGACACACTGCAATGAGCCACTGATACAGGGCCTAACCTTTTCTGTCCTAAACAAGGAAAACCTTTTTGGCTGGAGTTCTACCATACCTTTGGAAGAGTTTGCCCTGCTTTCTTCTGTCTTGAACTATTTTGTATCTGATGTGGGCTGTCTTTGGATTTGCACTGGGTGAGCTGTATCATTTGTACATGTACTTACTCGACAACTGAAGGGTATAGACCTGCTGAAGGAGCCAATATATTTGGCAAAAATGAATTCATAATTTTTAGAGGACACCTAACTGGATTAAAGCATGTTTAATGTCTACCTGGAATTCTGCTTTAGGCCCCATTCACACTGAGCAATTCGCAAAATTGCTCATTTTGCACGATATCGCGCGAATGCTTGCATTGAGCAAGCTAGAATCGTGGCAAAATCCGCTCCAAAAAGGGTCCTGCTGTAGCGACGCACGACCCGCGACAGCGACGGACAGAGCCCCATTGCCATGCATTGGAGAGCGATTATCGCGCGGTAAATAGCCGCGATATCGCGGGAATTACCGCGCGATAAATCGCTCAGTGGGAATGGGGCCTTAAAGTACATCCATGGCCTACCATTAAAAAGAAATGTCCTGAATCAGTTAGCTGTAAGTGCATCTGCGTTTACAGTTTTTTCCCTTTTGACTCTCCGCAAAGTCTTAAAAATGTTGATCTTGCTAGTAAAGTCCCCCTCGTGCAGCTTCCTGTGATGGAGTGGCAATGCTGCTACACTTCTCCTGAATCCAGAGCAGCGTTATCACCTTCATGTAGTATGTGTCTGCTTCTACTTTACTGGGATGAAAAGCTTTTGTATCATGTATGTGGATTGGGGATGGGTTTAGATTGACATACAGAAGCCTTTAGATGTACTTTGACCCTACCAGCAGGAGATGGATAGATAGAATCTAACAATGTTTAATACAACATAAAGCATTACAAAAACGTACAGCTAACCGTAGAAACCATCTCGTAACCATTTTTTACTCTAAACCAGGGGTACTCTGCTGTGGTGAAACTACAAATCCCATGATGCATCCCTCTCCGGGAGTCATGTCTGTGAGAATCTTTCAATGTCTCATGAGATTTGTAGTTCCACCACAGCCGGAGGGCCAGAGTTTGGCCACCCCTGCTCTAAACCAATGAATGGCTGGGTTAGTGCAGTTTTTAGTTACAATCTATTTGGTTGGCGATCTTCCTTTTTTGAATTAATCCATACGGTTGCATTTCTACGCACTTGTGTGCAGTCAATGCTAGGTTAGCCATTTTAGAGCTCATTTCGACAGGCGTTGTTTTCACAGGTCAGCAAAAACCTGTTAAATTTAGGTGACAAGTACATATGGCAGTTCAGAGGCTGTTTTTTTTTTTTTTGCATGCAGTGTGTCCCATTTAATGTGGGTTTGTATTGCTGGCAAGGCAGGTCAAATGCAGCTTCTTTTGCTAACAGCTGCATTTTTCATTCACACATAACTTTGTGCGTTAGAATGTGCAGAACGCAGTGTTTTACTAGAACACTCATCCACATGGACCCTTAGGTTTGTTTGGGCTCAGTACTGGGTTATGAATTGATCTATGCCTGATGCTTGCCATGACTAAGTTGATCTGACAAGGTAGCCTAATGATATTTGCACATGCGGGCTCATCAGAATCGGTAATAGAAGAGACGGCTCTTCTTTCTTTAGGGCACTGGACAGGAGATTATTCTCACCATATGCAGTTTTCTTAAACAAATACTTTTTTGTGACTCTGTTGCAAAGTTTCTTAGCCAGAGATCACAATTCCCAGCGGCTGACAACGGTAAGCCACTGACTAGCAAATAGTACCATCATTGTCAGCCTGCTGTGCACACGCCTTCAGTTGACTGTTGAACTGCTACCTGGCAGATCTCATCAGCCCAACAAACAACTAGAGCGCTAGATCACACCATCCCCAGTGCGTTCCGGCACGATTTGGTGCTGAAATGCACTGGATTGCATCCCGGCCGGTTCATTGTGTTCTTGGGAGGGGGGCATGGCAGTGCATTGGAGTCGATGGCGCGGCAAACCCCCCCCCCCCTCCTGGCCTCACTGTGTGAGGTCAGATAAAATTGTATTTTTTGTCTCTGATCGGACCAGAACGCAGGCATTAATGTGCCACGCGTTTCACTGTGGGCGATCGCACTGTGGCCGGGAGGCGAGGCTGTGGTGCCATTTACTTGAATGCACGGCCACGCTCCCTCACTCCCCA